TAGCTGAAACAAAAACTGCACCTTGAACCTGTCCATTTTTTAATCGTCGGATGATTTGTGATTTCATTGAACGTCTTTGATCGAAAGCTTTCAAGTGACAATAACCGAACCGTGTGTTGATTATTTATTAAAGCGTAATTAAGTTTATTCATCATGATCTATTTTGTAAACAATACTTGCCTAGATTGTGCTTGGATTGATCATCGTCACTGTTTAGCTACTCGCCTATAATGCGTGCTGAACGACAGACAACTTATAAATATTATCTGTGTCACTGTGCAAATGAACACATTTAGTTAAAGTATAACGAAGTCGGTGATTTAATCCATCCAACATATTTATATTTGTTCTTTTAAAACCAGTGTCAGGTTAACACCAAATCAAAGCAAGCCTTGCAGACTGGTTTTGTTTAAACTGTCGTAAATTAAGTAAAGCTAAGTAAATCCTGTTTCTACTTCACAGTGTTCATCCCAGCTATAAAACTGCATGAAGGATAACAAGACTCCGTAGCGAATTAACTTTCACAATGCCCTGTGCTTCAAGTTTCCAGGAGTCCCTTGTAACACAATAATATCGAAGAGTACAGTATGGCCTGAGAGCAATACAAATATGAGGCCGTGTATGAAAGATTTTTTCAAATTAGAAATTCAAATATTTAAACATGCTAGGTACATGCACATTACTTAATAAGTCATTTCACAAAAATTGCACTTAATTGTTTAGATTAACCTCTACTTTCATCAATCTCATCGCCTTATCTCAACCACCTAAAAGAAATATAGTGAACATGAGGAAAAGTAACACGTTTACATGCAGGCGAAGGAGTTATACTTCAATATTAATCGTGAACAATATCAACAGCGACTCAAGACCGTTGCCTGTCTTTCACACTTTTACACAAACAAACGAAGGTTTAATAAAGGGAGTCGCGGCGCGATATCTATCTCTTTCATTCGAACAAGCAAAGGGCTGACCCGAATTAAGCTTTCTAAACTTATGTCCTTTTTATTGTATATTGTAATTACTCCACTTGCTCGCCTCCATTGTCTTGTAAAAGTGACAAAGAATGTGTTGTATTCACACACGAGTTGAAAGAACTTTGCATAACTCCTTTGCCTTGTTGCATAATGTCTTTCTCAAGGTTATAATCAGTGTGAAGAGGGTGTTTTGCCTCATTTAAAAAGGGTGTTGTTCTTCATACTGGTTGTTGCTTAACTTATGCTAATCTATCATGTACAAATATGGTTTTAATAAATTGCCAAAATTATGACGTTAATGAACATTGTGTATCAAACGTTTTGATACGATTTAAATAAATGGACGAAGAAGATTACGGTATTAGTTACTATTTACCTCTGGTGTTAACTTCGCCCTGCTATATAAATGAACAAATGTTGCAGATCGTAATAAAAAACTTTCTTATAGTGTTTTTATGACATATGATTTACACATTTGATAGTGAAACACTCCTCGACTTTAACGCATCACCTGACGTAAACTGTCTAGCCACGCTCCCCGAAAAAAAACTTTCTTTTAATTTCGAAATTAATTTCTTTTAAGACAAAGAAGTCCATTAACCCTTTATGACTCACTGTCATTGTACAGCATGTTGTAATCGATATTAAAAAAGTTAATTTTTGTACTCCGCTTTTCAGTGTTCATCTTGCTGCTTTTAGGTTACAATTACGTCGCTCGCCTAAATCCATATGCTACTGAAATATATATTTAAGGACAAATTAAGCTTTGTAAAGTCCCTATTGTCACACACCATAGATACTTTATTTTGTCTTGAATGAAAAAATAGCCTCAAATTATCGTTTTGTGCTTAAACCTTTCATAACTTGAACCAAGATCTGATATACAGTGTACTATAGCTACTATGACATTCATCAAGTTGGGTCTGTTGGGGGAGGGGAGCATTTAAATGATAAACGAGGAAGTGTATCTGCAAAAGCAGCAGCAGTGGTTAAAATGATCGCTATCTCGGCTCCTTTTTTCTTTGACAGCAACATAAAAAGTGTTTAGGGAGAAAGTCACACAAAGACCCGACGTTATTTTGTCTTCAGCATTTCCTCTTCCTTGTTTACTGCAATTAATATCGTCAATTAATGAAATCGAGAAAGCAATTAAGTGACGGCACATTGAATATAGTCACTAGGTGCATTTCGCTGAGTGTTTACAAGATCTAGCGACACATTCTATCGCCACGCGTTCTAGTCTGATTAATCAGTGGGTGTTTATTATAAATCGGGGAATAAGGAGATATGTCCCTAAATGGGGAGATTACATGTAGGTGTTTCTTTTATTAAAGACTAATGTTTTTCCATGGCTAATGCCGATTAAACTGTCGCAGGCTTTTTGTTTTCCATTTTCTCATCAAACATATAATTAGCGTGTGAATTTAAAGTAACGAGTGTACTCACTGTGTCTGTCAAGATAGATAATTACCAGAGATGGAGAACTATTTGGGTGACTCCAAAACCTTGGACAGCCTTCCAAACAATGCATTTAAATTAAAACTGAAAATGTAGATCTTAAGTAACCATAGTAATGTCTTTTCGTGAAATCCTTACACATAAACTGTATGGACACACCTGTCTGTTTCGCAAATGCCTTTAAATGTGTTAGTTGTTACATGTATTTGATGACAATATTGTTCGCATACGCACTTAAGTGTTAGAAGGAGTGTTGTCAGTTTTCAAACAAATTCTAAAACTTTCAATATTTAACAATATTTTGAATGATTTCAAAGCAATAAAAATGACTTTCAAGATTCGGAATTAGCCATTGAACATGGTACACGTATTTATTTAATTTTAATTTTTTTTATCTTAAACATTGATAGTGTACAAAGCAGTAAGACGAACGTAGAGCACTCATAATAATATTATTAACAATTATGATTATTATTAATTTAGAACTTAAATCAACCATTTAAACATGTAGAAAATGTGCGTCCATAACGAAATCATAACCTTTAAACCAAATAGACAATCATATAGAGTTTAAATGAAAGCTTATCAGTGGTGGATTTAGTGGGGGGGGGGGTATCAGAGGGGTCCTGAATTAGAATTTTGACTAGCTGATTTATAGTACTAAACCGTACAAAATGGCACCGTTCGCCCTCTAAAATACCAGATATTTTCGGGGCCCTTCAGCGCGCCCTGAACCCTCTAAAATACCAGATATTTTCGGGGCCCTTCAGCGCGCCCTGAACCCCGCGACAAACAGGGGGGGGAGGGGGGGCGCCTTTCGCATCCGCGGAACCCCCTTCAAATAATCCTGGATCCACCCCTGCATATTATACTTACGAAAATACATTTGATGCTGTATCTGTAATTTATTCGGCGTGCAGCAAATAATATAGCAAGAGTACAATTTTCTAAGAGTCTAATGGAGTAAATTATAATTTCATGGTATTTTGAGTGAGTAGTGTTATTTGTGTACAAATTAAATGTGTTTATTAACGTAACATAGCGTAGTAAATAGCGTAAACGCCAACAACGAAAATAGTTAAAACTACAGACAATGTGATATGTTCTTGTTGAGAATAAATATTTGTAAAGAAAGATTTATCAAAAGAGGCAACAAGAAAGAACAAGAAAAAAGGCAACATGCATGGAATATAATACGCTATCGTCAAGAGGACAAAAGAAAAATATATTAAGAAAGCCAGTGTATATAAAAAGGGGAAATTGGAAAGCATAAAAACAGACACAACTGTATTGACCACAATAGGAATAAGTTTATCACCCTTAGGCTGTATATCAAATCCAGGACAGGTCTTCGGTTAAAATACGAATACAGCAGTGTAAGCACTCATAACATTGAAAGAAAATGCACGCTAAACAATCTCAAAAATTTCTTTTAAAGAAAAAAAATGCCCTTGCTACAAACTACCCCACTTTGTGTAACCTATACATCAAAATATGAGACAGCGGTGATGTTCAAGTCGCTCCCTTACTCGCATAAAATGTGAAGGCGGACCTCAAAATGGACAAAACGGAAGAGGAGTTTAACTGATAGGCAAGTAGAACGGGATATCTTTTGTGCGACACATCTTGGGGACTGCTACTAGTGTACATGTATGCGTCTTATATGCTTGTCTGTGTTAGGGGCCTGTGGATTAAATGCCTGAATATCTGTGTCTTAGGCTCTATTCCCATAGATTTTAGATCGATCTATCCCCGCGGGGAGTCTCACTAGATTACTTTCAGATAATCCGACTTAAATGTCCGTCCCGCCTACTACAAGCTGTGAGGGTGTAATTAACTTTCGTGTCCGCCCGGCTGACAGCTATTTAGCGTGAACCCCCAGGGAGTTAGGTCGATCTAAAGTAGGTCGATCTAATCTATGGAAATGGGGTGTTAAAGTAGAACAAAATCGTTTATTATCCTCTAGCTTTCAAATAGCCCTTTAGAAAAGTGACCATCATTTATTTACAACTTAAAAGAAATCTTGGGTCCTACGAAAAGTTTCTGAAAATTTTAATTAAAAGGGCACATGCTACTTTTGCATTTACTAGTAAAATTAATGATAAATGTACTGATAGCTTACCTGAATTAACTAGATGGAAATAATGGGCGGTGGTACTGTATAATGAATTAACGTTAACAAAACCGGTATTGCTGCATGAAATGGTTGAATAAACATGTAGAACAACTGTGGCTTGTGGATGGAAACCGGGGAGAAACCACATAGTTTATCAAAATGTCGTACATGTAAAAATGGACTATGGGTCACAATGTGACATCGTAATGTACCAGTCAGCCGACCAGTAGAGTTGGCGAACACTGACCAATTTATGAAATGTGTTACATGTAGGCACAGTTGTGTATAAATTTACATTATGTTGTATTTTACGTGTACATACCTGGTTATTTTGAGGAGTTGCAGGGTCTAAATACATTTGGTCCGAGAGTCGATGTCGCATTGTCAATACCGCGGTGATGGAGTATAACTCTACTATAATTCAACGTAGAAATAACTAGTTTACTCACCGCGTGCCGATGTGAATGTCGTCATCCGGAGAACCAATCTAAGGTAACTATGCGTCTCACTGTATGGGCTGCAATGAATAGAGCTCGTTTATTGGCCAGTAGCCCTATGCCAGGGAATACATATTCGACCCTGATCTGGGCAAATATCTTGTTATTTACACCGAACCGAGACCTTAACAAGGACCTACCGTAGGATAGCGGTGTGTGACTGCCGCTGGGTAACACCGAGTAGGACAAGTGTTTAAAAAGGTGCGCTACATGTCCTTCTAACAGAGTGAATATCCGGCAGTAGATACATGTAAGTTGTGCTACAGTGAAAGTCTGTCGTGTTGATAATTAGACAGGACGCGGAGAGGCACCTTTGTTAAAGGTGACATTTTTTTCATTATGAAAGGGATTTAGACGTCACTGTAGATTAGAAAGATAGTCTTTTAGTCAGCTGTGTCTATATTTAAGACCTCACTCGTTACTTGACTTGAAGTGCCGTGTGGATAAGTATATCACACCCGTAAGTGCTCTTTTCTGTGGTAGCTTACTTCGTTACTTTGACACTTACCCCGAATTCACCCTCTGAAATCTGGGGCCCTTTATACTGTACGAAATTACACTATCGCCTTCAACATTTCTGTAACAGCTAGCAAACCCATTGATCAGACAGTAACCTTAATCTACAGTGTACTCGACTAAATCTTCCGAGAGAGAGGAGGGGGAGTGGGAGAGAGTTCCTTCTACTATGCTAGGATATATTTCACCTCAAGATAGAATTGTAAAGTGTCATCTTACCGTGACAGGTGAACCACTGTTTTCTCTCACACATGTAAATGACCAAGGTGAGAGGCTTGTGGTGTCAGGGCACGTAGTGTAAGTTCAAAGGCGCGTGATGTTGCTGTTGACTGTCCTCGCCACAGTCCCCTACCGTCTGTCCGGACCGAAGAGATGTTTTCATCACAAGATATTCACAGATAATTACCTGGTTAAGCTAGTTTATATTTCTGGCCAGTTAGAACGTTTGCACGAAAATTCAGAAATGGCGCCGTCAGACAACTAGGCTCCGGTTGAGAGAAATAAATACCGGCAGACGACACAAACACCACACACAACAGATTTTTTTTTTGTCTACGATCAGGGGTACGTTTGCTTGTAAAGAGCCACGCTCGAAACATTATGAACGGACTTTTACACATTTCATGAAATGTTAAGGACAAGTCAAAATTGGTCATTCTCAGAATCGATTAGATTTCTATGGTAATCAATTAATTAATGAATGAATGAATTAATGAGAATAATGATAATTGATTTGCCTTGGCAGAGGCCCGCGGTCTGTAATTCACTGTGGGACAATAATTGCACTAACGTGCCTAACTGTGGTATATTGCACTTCATTGTTGCGGCAGATAAACAAGGTGTTATGTAGTTGCACAAGTACCGTACTTGTAGCAGCTAGTACAAGTTATCGTGGCTCATTTAGTAGTGATATATACCGAATTATAAGTTAATACAGCGTGGCAGCTTCCACCGTATCTGAGGTAGAAAATATTCAAAACAGGTAAGGTGGGTTATTATTTAGCTTAAAATGACAAGTTGCCTCTTGTGTACAGAATCCAGTTATTATGTACGTTTGTGGTTTTGTACATGTACCTGGCTCTAAAGTAGCATTTAACGGTTATTTATGTTCTTTTTTTTTTTTTTTCAATTTGCCTGAAGGTTGTTTCACTCGCACAATACACATTCACCTGTCAAGACTGGTGAAATGGAAGGTGGTAATTTTAAACAATAGACGAAATGTGTTCAAAAGTAAAAATGCGTATTATTATACAGTAGCTTTTTTGCGATATCAGCGGAGTGCAGTTTTCTACTGAGAAAAAGTTCGACAAATGAAAGGACAGATCAAAATATGTAAATCTACTTTACGTCATTTGTCTACAGGTGAATAAGATAAGAATCAAGCTAGCAGATATAAAAATGCTCGAATTAACGAAGGTAAAAAGACATATGTACCCAGTACAATAAATCAGACAAAATAATTGTGTATGTTAAGTTTTTCATTGCATACTCAAGTATAATTTTATTCTGTTATATAAATATTAACGTATGTTTTTTTACATTTCAGGACCGCATTTCAGCAGGAACTTGTTGATATTTTCCTGAGAGAACCCTCGTTCTCTCATATGAACAAGTGAGATACAAGTACCAGAAACTCTGTTTTCCAGTAGAGTCCCTACTGTTTTTTCAGGAACTGATGCCTATACATCTCTCACTCAGTGGGCGGAATATTACCAACTGCATAATCTTTTATCTCTCCCAGCTTACACCCGTCGCGATAATCACATTACGAAGCAAGCATAAGTACCTCTAGAGGTCACGTCTATAAAAAGGCAGCTTCACGTAAATGGGAAACAATGATGACGCTTATTGATGTAACAATATTTGATAACTATTCACACGTCACCTTTTAAGTATGGCAATGATGTATTTTCATCGTGGAATAATGGCAAGTGTTTTACTTGCAAGTATCTGCCACATACCTCAGAGCATTATTGCTCAGATTAACGGGACCGAATATTACCGGCCGAATACAGTGAAATTCCAAAGTGATGAAGACCCGTTGTTCCCCGGCATGTACCCTCTGAATTTACTTCAAACTATCCCGTTGTTTTATGGCACGAGGGTAGGTGTGCACTTCCGGAGATTTGACTTGGAGAACTCTCCTGGTTGTGACAATGACTATGTTGTGGTCGTTGAACGACGGTTCATTGAAATTGGTACAAGGAATACCATTTTATGGGGGCCGGTCTGTGGTCACCAGAGTACTGCCCAGTCCAGTTTCCTCAACGTTCAATTGATATTTGAAAAAGAAAATACGCACAGCGAGATATTTATGGTATTTTCAACCAATAAAGAAGTGAGAGCACTCGGATTTTCGGGCAACATCTATCCCGAAGCCCCGAGGGACATACCCTTCGACCGTGTGGACTCGTGTACTCACACCGTAACTTCGGAATGGGATGGATGGTTGAGAGTTAACCATGATCCATTTGCTAAAGCTCACAAGTCTTGTAATTTTCGTGTCACTGTTCCAGTGGATCGCGTGCTTCAGTTCAGAGTTATCCCTGCAAATTTGTCGTCCTGTGGCCGGTTCGATTTTTATGACGTCACTGGTTACGGCGAAAAATGGCTGAGTACCCATTACCTGAACAGCACCGCTGCTGATGACGTTTTAAGTAGGGGGTACGACCAAGTATCGGTGCACTGGACGCCATGCGGATCCTCTTTGCTGGGGGATGTTTTTGTAAACTACACTGCAGTCCCAAGACAAATTGTCGAACGTGTACACTGCACGAACGGATACGTTCTTTTTGAAGGAAACTGTTACAAATTTTCCACCTTCACGCGGGGTCTTTCTTGGGAGCAAGCTGAAAGCAAATGTGGTCTTGAAAATGGTCACTTAGTCAGCATACAGAGCAGGGGAGAAATGCGTTTCCTGAACAGAATCATCAACAATCACCAAAAGAGGTACTTCGGGACAATGTGTGACAGTTACTACCAAAGAGGTGGCATCTTCATAGGCTTAAAGTCGCAAGAGAAGGTAAGACGATCTCTAATATTTAAAATCTATATGTATAATTTCTTTCGAACGTGGCTAGGTGACCATGTCGTGGGGTTTATAATATGTCAGAAAATGGAATCAATACCTCAGAAGTAAGTTTTCATACCGACACTCATTCTCAATATATGGGCTCATTCAACAGTTTTTTTAAGTTTATGAAAAGTAAGCGAGCGGAAGAATATTTTGTTCAAGTGGAACTTTACTACATGTAACATATCTGTCTAGCAACTTAATAATAAAAAGTTCTAGATTTTTTATCTCACCAAAAACATAGACGGACTAAAATTTTAAACCTCCTTACTGTTGCACGCAGCACCATCACATTCTCCAATTGATTTAGCTTATTTTTTACTAAAGTAGAAAATCTGCCACACGCTAGAAAGCGAATATGATGGCTAACGCCTTAGAAATATCTAGAAGGTTTATTTTAAATAATTCGTGATCAATAAGTAGCTTGCGTCTACTTTCCCGTTGTCACCGGGTTTTTAAAAAATTGCAGAAAAAGCTTCATCATGATCACGTCCTTTGGCGCCGGTCATCATTTTTAGTTGTTTGATGTTTTTGGAATATTTTAGCCATTGATTAAATCTTCAATTCAGTTACATTCATGATAAGTTAGGTTATATGGAGACGGGGCACTATAAAATGATTTACATGAAATAGGACAAAACTGCATTCTCTTAGAAATTAATTTGCAAAACCTTCGATAGTGGGCATTGTTGATAAAATATACTTGAGTTTGAGTACAAAAGGTGTCAGTAAATAAAAGCGCATCTCGTAATACCCCTTTTGCTCAGTCTAATTTTTGTTGGTTAAGGGTCTTTATTTTTAAAATTTTCGTTACTCAAGCAGCTGAAACTTTCGTTACTAAGCAATAATCAGGAAAGTTTTCCATGATTTACGCAAAAAGCTATAAATCCGACACTCTCTGTCACCGGAGATTTAGAAAAAACTAGAATGTGCTAAAAAATCTGTAACTTAATGTTTCACATTTCTGTTTGCTTCAAATGGACCCATAGATTGAGAATGAGTACAAAAGCTTAAGTTATATAACCACTTACAAATTTTACAGCGCAGCTGATATTAGAAAGTTGGTTACATCCCATTATCTTCACGCGTGTTATCTACCAGCAGGTAGTCTTGTACGGGGCAAATTTGCCTTTGTTTCAATTTGACATTTTTCCTTTCATGTTAAGACATTCCTGTTTAACTGGACGGACGGAAGTCCCTATGTGTATTCAGAGTGGTATGGGCCCACGATATACGGCTATGATCAGTACGGCGTCCCAGATTCCTTAAAGGCGGTCTTTAAAGAAGACGTTCTCCAGCCGGTAGCACAAGAAACGTTACAGTGCTCAGTAATGATGGCTTTTAGTCCTTTGTCCAATGGCTCCCCGCATGGAAAAAGTCGCTGGGCAAATTGGATTAAAGTCCCATGCCACCGACCGTTCTGTTGCATGAGCTCAGTTTGCAAAAAACCTGCCACTTCTGCTACAGCTCATTTTAGGGATGAAAATGTATCCGCGGACGTCTTCAACGCTGACGCTAAAGTGAAGGTACTCTCACCGGCACATGAACTATACTGTCCCGATAAATGGGTATATATTGAAGGTCGTTGCTTGTTCTTATACACTCTCAGCACTTTTGGGATAAGGCCAGTCGCTTCCTCCGAAAGAGAATACCAGGTCTGCTCTGACTCCAGGGAGTGGTTTTTGACTCCAAATATGAGTATGACATATGATGCTGCTGCAGCAAAATGTGCATCAATTAAAGGGCATGTTGCGTCTCTTTCGACTGATGCCTCGCTCGAAGTCACAAAAATACAGGAATATATTTCGCTGTGGGGAAAGGAACAGCATTGGCTGCATCATGATGCTTTATTGATGGATTTTACAATAAACAGCGGAGGACCACTACAGATATGGTTTTCCGACTTTATGCAACCGTGGATTAGAACTCAGCGCGGAACTTGTGCGCAGGGTTTAGGACCAATGCCCACTTTAGAACAAGAAGTATCACACTGCCTCAATGACAGTAGCACCACGCGATCAATGTATGTCCTCTGCGAGACGCAGCCTCTAAGGGAAACTAGCGGCTGCTTGAAACACCAGTTCCAGTGTAATGATGGGGTGTGTATCTCCATTGTGCACCTGTGTGACGGCGAACCTGACTGCCTGGCCGGCGAGGACGAGGCCAACTGCGCATGCGACTTTGGAAGTTTTTCCTGTGCTGACAACTCTTGTATTTCTACAAGTAAAGTCTGCGATCACAGACCCGACTGTGTCGACGGTAGCGACGAGTCATTTTGCATTCACCCGCCATGTAGAAGTGACAGCTTCCGGTGCAAGAACGGCCAGTGTATTAAGCAGGAGAGCGTGTGTGATCTAACGGCCGACTGCATCGACGGGTCCGATGAAAGCCCAGAAAACACGTGTTCTTGTGAAAAAGGATTTCAGTGTTATACCAGCGAATGCATCAGAGCGCAGGCAGCTGATGACCGCTTTCCAGACTGCCCAGGAATTTCTCAAGAGGACGAGATACAAGACAGTGTCTGTGGAATATCTATTGGGTATGAAATCATTGAACAGTTATATTGTCAAAAAGCAAATGATATTCGATGTACCTCAGGGCATGGACATTGCTTTCCACGCCATCTGGCTTGCATACACGATAAGGAATCGTATAAGGCACTGAACGTATGTAGAGGATTTGAACATCTCCAAAACTGCGAGACGTATCAATGTCCAAGTATGTTTAAATGCCCCGTGTCATATTGTATACCGCTACGTCAGGTATGTGATGGACAGGAAGACTGTCCCAGAGGAGAAGACGAGGCGGACATTCTGTGTTCCAATTACACTTGTCCAGGGAGGTTTCGTTGCAAGGGAGAGAAACAGTGTCTTCATCAAAGAGATGTGTGCAATGGTGTTGTGGATTGTATTCTTTCTGATGATGACGAAAAACTGTGTGAAATTACCGAGTGCCCGAATAATTGCACGTGTAGAGGCTACCTAACGGATTGCCCCGGTGCCGGTTTCATGACATTACCTTTACTACCCAATAATATACGTTCGTTTGCATTTGGAAACAATCAGTTAACATTGACCAACACCACCTTCAGTGGGTATTTAATGTTGATTAAATTAAACATAAGCTCAAACAGCTTGAAACTTATCCCAGTTTATGCATTCCAACATCTAAATAATCTGATTGAGTTAGATATTTCTGATAATGGAATAGAACTGTTAAGTGATAGAACGTTTGCTGGGCTCCGCAATTTAAAGTACCTGCATTTGAAGAGGAACCCTCTTGCCAAAATTGAAGTGGGCGCATTCAGCGAATTGAATCAAGTTCAACTGCTTGATCTTAGTTTCCTTACAATCCGTACGATATACAGCGGCACGTTCAAAGGGATGGACGCAATCACTTCTCTTAACATCAGTTTCAACAAACTTTCAGCGGTACAGGATGGAGCTTTTAAAGGTTTGCCAAAACTTAACCTCTTGGATATTTCTGGGAATGAAGGCGTAGTGGTAGACACTAATGCTTTTGAATCTTTCAGCGCACAGTTACTGAAGTCGGACAACTTTGGAATATGCTGCTTGGCAAGAAACAAAATTGATAACTGTTTACCAAAAGTCGATGAATTTTCTAGTTGTTACGACTTGCTTAAAAACAGCTTTCTTCAAGTAGCAGTATGGGTTGTTGGAATAACGGCTCTTTTTGGAAATATGGGTGTTTTAATATATAGTATCCATGTCATGTATAAAGGGAGCTTAACCACAACGGGTCTGTATGTCACCAACCTCGCCACTGCAAATTTACTGATGGGCATTTATATGATAACGATTGGCTCCATGGACGCCACATTCCGCGGACGTTTTGCTGCATTCTCTGCTGTATGGACTTCAAGCGCTACTTGTCAATTTGCTGGCTGTTTGTCATTACTGGCCAGTCAAATGGCTGTGACAGTCCTGGCTTTAATTGCGACTGACAGACTGATAGCTATTGCATTCAGTGAAAAGGTTCCGAATATGTCTCCAAAGGTTGCCGTTGCTTTGCTTCTCGGCAGCTGGTTGTTTTGGCTCATTCTTGGCGTCATTCCGACCACTGGAATTGATTTCTTTAAATACTTCTACGGTCACAATTCCGTATGCTTACCTTTCACGCTGAGTAAAGCTGACTTTGGAGGCAGGGCATACTCCAATGCTATATATGTGGTTTTCAACCTGATTGCCTTCGTGTACATATGTATCGCTTTTATTGTCAGAATGAGGTTTGCATTTAAGCCACAAACACACGAGGATAGAAGTCAAAACGACAAAATTTCTTTTAAAGGACTTTCCTTAATTATGATAAGTGACTTATTTTGCTGGGGTCCTGCAACTATATTGGGCCTAGTTAACGTGGCTGGCGGCTCTATTGCCCCTGATGTATCTGAATGGGTGGCTGTCCTTATCCTGACTATCAACTCTGCTCTTAATCCCTTGCTTTTTGTGATCGCTAATAGAAAGGTTTGCAGAAAGACGAAAAAGAAACCAACTTAACAACAACCCTCAAAAGTTATTTAAATTTTGAAACGACCACAAAACGTGTATGTATTATTTACAAAGTTGTACAGGTTGTTTAGGTGAACCCTTTCATCACGACCAAAGCCTTTTTAAAGTTTATCATCTGCATTTTTATGTGTAGTAAAATGGAGGGATGGCAATTAGATGATTCTATTTCAGTGAGGGTTTCCGTCTTTGATTCACATTAATTGTCAGCATCTTGTCACTTGTGGAAAAACAAACGCAATTTTCGCTCAGAGAATGATTTATTCAAACGAGCTAGAAGAGTTTCAAGATTGGCAAATACTTAGGAGTGACCTAGCCTGCACCTGTGCCGCGTATAGGGCCCACAAATTCTACATATCTTTTGTTTTTGTATAATAAGCATAGATCCTACGTTTAAGTCCTAGGTAGAGAGGACCCGAATTTAATTTAAATGTCATTTTTTCGTAATTCTAGTTCAAATATTACAATAAAATTATATTGAACCGCCAGGTGCTGTTTGTCTATTATTGTGTCCGTCTGTTCAAAGAAATTGAAATGATAACTTAACTTCGCCTTCACCGCGAGTTAGATTAAATTATCTATGTTTTCACATTCTTATTTTGTCTACTCTGTATGCACAACATGTTCTTATAATAAATTCCTAGAGCATCTTGCTCAGTTAATGACTTAACTTACAATATTTGTCAACAGTGTATTTCTAGAAGAAGATTTATCAAAGAAAAATATTGCACACATGTGCTTTCTGACCGAAAAAATTGAATTTTGGTATCATGTTAATCTGCAAATTTTACAGTCTATACTAGAGCAGATGGATATTTACCTCCGCCAAGGAGGTTGTGTTTTCACCCCTGCTTGTTTGTCTGTCTTTCTGTCTGTCTGTCATCAACATAACTCAAAAAGTTATGGATGAATTTCGATCGAATTTTCAGGGTAGGTCAGAAATGGTTTAACTTAGAAGTGGTGACCCGGATCAATAATCAATCTATTATCAATCAATAATCAATAATAATAAAAAATTTAGGGGTGAAACGGCATTGGGTGGAGACTTTGCTGCCTTGGCGGAGGTCTGCGCTCTCGGAGTGCTTTTTGTAGTTTTAATTGAAATAGAGACATTTTGTTGAGGATCTTTTAATAAAGTGGTGTAATTTGGACTTTTTGAAGCATATGCTTTTTGGTCATCAGAATATTTCATTTGTCCTAATTTATTGGGAATTATAGGTGACAAAGTCCGCCGCTTTGATATTCTTTTGTTTTCAAGACGGTAACTCTACTTCTTTAAAATGTTCATAATACTCGTGTACAAACAACGTCGATGGGGATATTGTCTAAGCGAACGACACAGTGCGCCGGTAGTTTTTTTTTCGTCAAATATCCAAGAAGTATACCCCTTCTTATTTCTCATAAATATGATTTACAATCAATTCATCATTCCTGTGCATTAAGTTTCCAATCACATTTAATAATGATGTATAGCCCTTGCTTTTTGTTCACCTTTCTGCTCCTTGTATCCGAAATTAGAAGTACCAGTAAAGTCATAACTCTGTACTTTCGAACTCATTTGTTTGATAGGTGGAGCCATTGCGGTAATTAAGAATAACTTGATTCATTGCAGGGGCAGATCCAGGATTATTTAAAAGGGGAGCCGTGGATGCAAAGCCGACCACCCAAACTCGGCGTGGGGTTCATTGGGCCCCGAAAAATATTGGTATTTAAGAGGGCGAACGGTGCCATTTGATACGCTTTAAAACTAAGATTCAACTAGTCAAAATTCTAATTTCAAGAGGGGACCAGAATTCAAAGGGTGGGGGGTCAGAACCCCCTGACCCCTCTACAACCGCCACTGCACTGGGTCTGTTTTGTGAATCCACTGAAGTCCAAAACCCATCTTAGTGTGGCTGGTAATAAATTCAACCAAATTGTATTTCTGAAAGCATTCAAAAAGTTCGTTTGTCCCATTTTGTTTTTGGTCTTTGAGAATAACTGTAATTGTTTTAATTTGAACATGCACAGTATTTCACCTTTGTTGTGGGCCAAATTTCTCACAAAACGCAATCGCTTTTACGATTTAGGAATTCTGCTAAGTCCCTGAACTTTTAACGATACTAGATCCTATAAATAACAATCGTTTGTCCAAAAATGCAGCTAGTTCGCTCGCTACATGTGCAGAGAAGTCGAACTTACACGATAACAGAGAGAATGTTAACTCCAGTACAGAGTGCCAGTACGGCTTAACGTTTACAGAACTCGTAAATCAATGTCGTCATGCATGATATGAACAAGATCTGTAACTGCGGTGTCAGATGCATCTATGACATTTAAGTTAATGATACAGGCGACGGGAAATAAATCAATTAATTTCCCCATGAAGTTAATGGTGGTAAAATTAGGGGAACAAGTAACAAACAGATTTTGGTGGTGATCCATAAAGCAATTTATAAGTACCACTAATAATGTCCGTTTTTTCCTTAGTAACTTATGCAAAACGTTATGGAGGCTTTGTCTAAAAGAGTCAGAAATGGGATAGATCTTGGTAGAGATAAATAAGTAATGGGAATTGAGCTGCCTTTGCGGAGGTCAAATTTTCTAAATGACTTCGTTTTGTGCACTATTATTTATTCTATGTAAGATACACATGGGCCTGAGATATCGCTAACTACGGTAACATGTTAACTGAGGGAATTAAGTTGTGAAAGCTTCCGTTACAAACAATGCCCATCTCGGTTCATTTCGGAACAAGCCTCGTTCCCATGACGACGCAAAACCCTCAAGTGGTTATGTTCTGTGTGTGCTCGTGAGGTCCGTGAGGCTTTGGCGGAGTCTCTGCCGATGACGGATTCACAAAAGACAACTGGAGTGGTCACTCTGATGTTTTATTCTACAGAATTAGAGGCGGCCGGAGCGTCGGCCCTACAGTCGTCTTGGAGTCTCTCCCACTGAGCTCCGTTATCTGATTTACAGAATTTCTGAACTCAACTAAAAACTGAGCTCACTTAGAAATGAAACCACCTTATATACCTGATTGTGGAGAGAGCTCGTTAAGGTGTCATTAGACTTCGATATGTTTGATGTCGCTTTGTCTGTCAAACTATCTAGGACCACTTGGCGTCTCTATGTCTGCAAAACGTTCCTCCCGTTTATACATTCTCGTTTACCTTAATGATTCTGGTCATCAAACTGATATCTGAGTATTGACTCATATCATTGTGTCCTCAAAGTAAATGACCTCGCACGGTCACTTGGGAGTATCGTTGTCGTGATTATCCTTTCACGAGCCGCCCCCACAACATTCATGAAACAAATACTATTGTTCTCATCTGTACCCTTCTTAACTTCAAAGGCTTATAACAATTGCTCTTTGTCGGTGGGCTCTTACAAAGATCCACCATAACTAGTCTTTCGTCAGTGAGTTCTGATATGGCATTATCAACCCCGATATTCTCAGTGCAATATAGTTTGCACGTTACAACTCTTCCCTTTCCCCCGAGTTAAAATATTATATATTTTTTACCATATCAGAATATCACTGACAAACAAAGGTTTTACCTTGCTTGATAAAAGAGCCCTGTTTAGATCGTTCAGTATTCAGGATGGTGTGGCCTGTACACGCACAAAGACTCGGCTGGTTTTGCCATTATAGGACCATTCCCATAACCCTATCGCATTAACTAGATCAATCTAACTCCTCGGTGATTATCGCTAAATTGCAATTAGTTTAAGCCGCTTAAATGTTTGGTACGCCCCCTCGTTACTTGAATAAAATCGTGAAAACTGCGGTCCACGATGCTGCTCATGTTGCTTTGCGAGGGGGCGTACCAGACAATTCAACTGTTTAAACAGAGGGCGCCTTAGCGAGAATCCCCGATGAAAAAGATCGATCCTGCTTGGACGATTAGGTTATGGGAAGGGAGTCCATTTGACGGCACACGTACTTTTTCTTCATAGATCGGAAGATAAATCGGGAGGTCGGGAGAATTGTCCCCAAATCAAGAGACTCCTGACGAGATCGGGAGTGTTGACGGGTCGTGTAGTAATTAATTTTTTGAAAAAGAATTGTCATTATTGCATCTCTTTATCTTGCAAATAATTATGTATTCAACTGACGAATCCTCAGCCCTCAATGCCGCGCGAGTACAATGGGCAGGTAAAAATAGAGAGAAGGATGGATTTATACAATGAAAGTGGGTCATGCTAAATTCCCTCTTCCAATTTTTATAAACTTCCTTATTGAGGCCATAGACTTCATATGTCGAAGCTACACAGAAATCATATTAACGTTTGCCACCATGGGATTGAACGTTATTCAAGTGTTCCTGGTTATATTGTTTTATAAAGAAGAACTGCAGGTGACGGCTGCAGGTATGTTGTCATTTTTACCCTCGTGTGGGTACGAGTGCATGTTTCATAGAATGAATGTCGTAAAGTAAAAAAGGGAACATCATAGCCACGCTTTCGAAAATTTGATCAGTAACACGAATGTTTATGAATTTTGTTAGTATTCACTACTATGAAGGGGTTTCGATAAATATTCGTTTTTAGGTATGTACTACGTGTATGTATCGTAATCTAGAGTACATATACTCCACAGCAGGGGCAGATCCAGGATTATTTGAAGGGGGGGGGTTCCGAGGATGCGATGCCGACCCCACCAATCCCCCCCCCCACACACACACACACACACTTGGCGTGGAGTTCCGGGCCCGATGAAAGGCCCCGGAAAATTTTGGCATTTTAGAAGGCGAACGGTGCCACTTTGTACGGTTTAGAACTAATATCCAGATAATCATAATTCTGATTTCAAGAGGGATCCAGAAATCGATAGAGGGGGGGTCAGGACTTTGTTCTACATATCACAGTAAATGTCCTGATGTCCTGTTTCTCTTACGAGTGTATATACGTGTACATTTGCCGAGCTAAGCGAGATTAAATATGTTATCATTACGCGTGCTCTCCTCTTCCTAAAATTCTGTATCCACCATCTTTTGAACAGCATACTATGTTTATTTTGGTGGAGGTTCTAGGATAAGTACACGTCGAGTACACGAGTTTTTTCTATTCTTTTCCTCTCACATCTTTCTAAAAGAGAAAATGTTTTTAATTATAGTAACTTGAAATTATTTGATTTTATTAATAAACAATCGGTTTCAGGTACATGTTACCTGTGGCTATTCAGACCGCGAGATATCACACGCTACGAGAAGACGGAACTGCTGGGGTTTTACTATAGAAATGGCACCATGAACAATATGCCAAGATACATGAAAACCCACAGTTGGGGCGGTGTGTCTCACTTTGAGGTGGTGTACACTTCATCTCACTGGATCATCCAGGAGGGCACGTCGGTGGTCCATGCTCGTTCAGTCCCTACTGCGGTTGATCTGATAGAAACGGAGCTGTCTTCGCCATGGCAATACTATAGGAATGGTTGGGTGAACTTCACGGCATGGTTTCATTGTTTTAGTCGAGGTAATATGTCTGCATAGATTGCTGTCAATAATAAGGCTTTTGATCTGACCCTTGTATGGGCATGTAAACGTGTCGCACTTAGTATGCTTTCATAAATACATCTACATTTAAGCTGATCCGTAAACTTTTTGACGAGTTTCAGTGCTGCACCAGATCAGTTGATAACAAACACGCTCTCGATCACCATACAGTACCTGTGTTTTCTGCCCATTTTTGTGACTCGCTAAAAGGGAATTTTGGAAGATATTATCTGTACAGGTATATGCCTATTTTATAGATATCGTTATTCTTTTACCTTTCAGACATTTCACTGCCGTCTCACTTTAACTTAACAGTATATCCTGACCAAACTCCAGCACAAAATTCGTATCAAACATCTACCATCCGACAGTGTCTAGATAAAATTTCAAATGGTCAATGTGTAAGCGTCACCTGGAAGCCGTATGTTAGCCTTTGTGATTGCTTCACAAGTGCAAATGTATGTGCAGTGACATTGGACACTTTAGAGCCAGGACAGCCACTTGCAAGTGACATCGCTATTCACATTGACACAGCACATTGTCGTAGAGAAGGTAATATCAACGACGCTTGTTAAACTCGCTAAATATACAGACTTGTCATTTAATATGGAATATTTCAATTTTGAAGATATGCCTAGGTAAAAATGCGTTTTTTTTTCAAAAAACACCGATCTCATATAAGATATGTGAATGGAGAAGTGTGTAGTCAGGTGTGTCGCTACCAATTAACTAAAAACCAGATTTGTTGCGCTGCTGCATTATGTAATTTGCAGTGTTTTAATTGGGCAGTGCTCCTTTTGGCAGGTCAAAGCTTGGCTTTGGCAAAGCATGGTTCTGTCAAAAAGTATCCATATGTCGGCAACTATTGCATAGAAGAATTTGAAATTTTGCATGCAAGTGGTCAGTTTTGCAGTGTATAAAATGAGCTATGCATTGCTTTACAAAGTTGTTAAGCTGTGGCAGAATGGCGCGAAAAAGACATTGCCAGACAGATAATTCCACCAAATGAAACGGTACGCACAGTTTTGTAGAGTAATGCCCAGACTGATCTACCTGCACAGAGGCCACACCCAATGTATTGAAATCTCACCACCAGGGTACAGGACCCACTGTCTTTCGGGGTATGCTGCTGCAACTAAACAAAAACCACCCAGTCCGTTCATTGGGAACCTTGACAGTTTCTGGGTAGAACACTGAAACCGCGTGGCTTTCTTTATTGAGGTCAGATCTCGCATGTACCGCTCAACTATGTAATACAGAGTTTACAGACATCCAGAAGAGACCAACGACGAAGCGTGTACCGCGTCTAAAGTGACTGAGGTCATTAACAGCGTCAGTATTTGGGGTGGATACCTCATTGGTGCCAAAACTCCAATGGTAGTCATCGACGAAAACCTGGTCGACGAAAACCTGAACCAGATCAAATAAAGGAATAATCTGGGAACCACTTGACTATTATTTGATAGGTGGCACCTAAGGAACAATTTTAGGTTGCACGGTGATATTGTTGGTTCACACAGAGCACTTTTAATAGCATATTACTTACAGAACCAAGGGAATGAGCAGCTACCTCGCTCATCAAAATCGCCATATTTGAACCACATATACAGTATGAGGGTACACCATTACTCGCCGAATCAATGCCTTACATGTCCTACAACACAATTGGGCCACATTGGACAGATTTTGACCGCTGCCGGGAATGTTATTCCAGTTTGAACTCTAAAAACTTATCCCAAGGATAGCCTTGCCGCTATCCTTGGAAGAAGTCAGACGTAACAGCAACCGTTACTGTGACTAGACACTGATATGAGGGTCCTTTGTGGAGCGTGTTACTCATTTATAGACAACAATTTTGAAAATATGGAGATCCAAAATATCTCTTTAAATGGTTGTCGTATGACATAGAATAGGCGATGTGTTTTTGTTTGCTTCTCTGGCGAATTCAATGAATGAACTGATGTCACAGTGATTCTAATCCTTTTTTCATTTATCAGTCAGCAAAATAGGAAAAAACTGATGAAAAATTATTTGGAAAAAAAATCCATATTAAATGTCAAGTCTGTGTACGCAAGTAATACGTACTGGGTAACTGTAATTGTTTGATATCTACTGAATACTTCCTAAGATGATGATTTTATTTAGACTCGATATTTCGATAGGTCAGCAATGTACCAGTCCGGTGTGTGACGACATGTGTATTGCTGTAAACCATAACCAGTTCTGTGGATGCAAAACAGGGCGGCAGTTAACGAGTGGAAACCAATGTGAAGGTAATTTTCTTATATTTCAGCATGCAAAGTATACACAAAGATTTTTTTTACTCTAAAAAAACCTGTAGACGTAAGTGAACTTCAAAGTAACATAGTAACTGAATGATAAGACAATGCAATTAAGTTGCACATGTTTTCAGAAACAGATGAATGTCAGATTGATGCTGACTGCCACGTACACCAATCATGTTTATCTAAAGGCATCTGTTACGATACCTGCAACCAAGGGTTCCATCCTGTCTTAGACACAAATTCAGGCAACAAAACATGCATGAGTGAGTACTTACTGTAAGTAAAACTAGTAGTTGAATTGCTCTCTTATAAAAAAATTCAGGATACATTTTTATAATAGCAGGAGGTACATGCACTATAAAATGCAGTGCAAGCTGTAGTAATTAGAGATTACCTTTAGAAATGATTGAATATTAGGTCTATGTAGCATCAAAATATGGAATGAGTACGCACTCAAACATGATTGCATTTCATTAAAGTGCATAGAGATAATTTCAACAAAGATTTGATACGATATTCTTGTGGAAATGCTTTGATCTCCTTCTACAGGCAAATGTGTTGTGCCTGGCGATGCTGTGAACACCACCCTTGAGTCATCTCAAAATATTTATGTCGGTGTTGGCGAACATATCGTGTACAGTTGTTTACAGAACTTTACTCTGTCAGCTGGTAATTTAACAAGAACGTGCATGTTTGACTTCACATGGACTGGAGAGCCTCCAATTTGTTCAGGTAATCATTGAGCCATTGGGCAGTTTGCTTTAGAGAATTTAAATTTTTAAAAGTTAAAAACTAAGTTTAACGTAAAAAGCCGTGTATTTTTTATCAGACATTATACAATACAATACAATACAATACAATACAATACAATACAATACAATACAATACAATATAGCATGAGCCAAATGAAGTATTAAAATACAAAACATCATCTTTATATGATCTACATTTACCGAAGATAACTTATACTGGTAGGTTCATCAAACGATCTCATTACTTTACAAGATTCCACCATATATTCAACAGTCTACTCGGCCACTGGAAATTATACCTTCACAGGTGAGATAAAATGGGTTTTACGCGACCCTCGACTATTGGATTTAATTTTTATTTAGACTGTTTACGAAACTCACAAACAATAAGGCAGAGTGAAGTTTCACGAAGTTTGTCATCTTTAATCTATAACTGTTTAAGATTTTCTAAAAAAAAAAATGTTTCCCCAACATACGGTGCACTGCCTGCGTCCTGTAGTTCATTTACACTAGCTGTTCCGAAGTACAAGGCTGGTATGCGCAGCAACTACTGCGCGAACAAGCGCAACAGAAAACAGGCGGCTGTACCATCAACAATTTATTACATACATACTTATTTTATTTACGCACTTGATTAGGTATAACGGGCATCCGTGATACTTCCACACCTATGCATGGAGGACGGGCTACCGAAAGTACTTTATCATCAGGTGAGCTTGTACCCCTAAAATCGTTTGAATTGCTGCATAATTTTAAAGAAATATAATTCAAACATAATTAAACATTAAGTAAGCTTTCAGAGAGCAAAAACCTCTGCCAAGGCAACCCAATGATCGTTTTCATTAATTCATTTTTAATTTGATTATCAATTATTTAATTTCACAACCTCCTTGGCGGAGGTTGTACTCAATAAAACGTAACCATGCATGATCCAGTCTTCACTCTGATAAATTGTTGTAGTAAAGAGTACATCCCTAAGATAACCACCCAATTGCAGCAATGTTTGGGTAATCATATGTTCTTAACCGCCATGGTGAAGAATCCTTCAAAAATCTTGGATCCAGATGTTGACCAAGTTCACTTTAAAAATGTTGACATATCCTGAAAATTGTAACAAAACTCATCCATATCTTTTTGAATTAGTTTGGTGACGAACAAACATAAAGGTTCATCTTCAGATTCAACCAAATTTACATCTAATAGAAAGTGGTTGCTTAAAGCCAGATAAAACAACTTGCGTTTGAACTGTGATGCCCTTATTTTAAATTTAACTTAAAGTAATCTGGATATTCGCGTTTGAAGGATTAACGTCTATCATGAACTAACATGAAATTTAAAAAATTGGTTTATTGGGAAAGATTGACAGGCCAAAGTCTATGATTTCATTGATTATGGTTTACTTTGATAAATAACTTCTTGTGAACACAATACAAACAGAATTTTAAAACGAGACATTGGGCAATTGATAGTAATTTGGTTAATACACATTCTTTATAAGTTTCAGCCATGTCCATAGGGATTGGAGTTGGTTGTGGAGCATTAGTACTGATAATGCTTGTTATTATAACTGTCCTGTTGTTTTTACAACGGCGCAAACGGTGAGGCTTTATTAAGACACTGTGCATAGATACTTGTACATCTCTACAAATATTGTAATAAAATTAAAATTAAAATTTTAATGTGTGATTACTGTGTTTTATAAAATTTACATTTTCTGGTAAACCTTGTAGCAATGCATATACATAAATGCAAGAGAGGTGACATGCTTTTGCTAGGGGAGTTTACATGTATATTGTATGCAAACGATAACTGTTTATCCTGACTTTGGCTTTTATTCTGCTAATTTTTAATTATATTTCCGTATCTTTATTGACAGAAAAAGAGATACAAAGCCATATGAAAATGTAGACCTCCCTGTAACCCGAGTAGCTGATAATGACTCCGCCCTTTATCAGCCTGTAACAGAGTCAAATGTGGAAGTTGATATGCATCAGTATGCCCGGCTAGGTGAAGGACCTTCCGAACGACAAAACAATATGATTCCTTGCTTTTACGAGAATATGGAACTAGTTAACACCAAAGTCTACATTGTTCCGAACGAGACGTAGGCTACACTTCTACGGGGGAGAGGGTACACTATGGTTAGCATGACAACTCGGATCAGAAAGAAACTACCGGTTTCTAGAAATGTGTCTTGGTTGACAACGACACCTTTAGTGCACAGTGATTCCTGTGACAGAAATATTCTTTATGACTCGCACGTATTTTGTATGTATTTGGTCGACGTATACGTGCAATATGGAAAATACAAATTAATACAACGTTTTCTCCGACGCTTATGCAGTAGAACTTGACCTCTTAACATTGACTAAATGGGGGACAAAAGAGGGTGTAACAAAATTTTTCATAAAGAAATTCCCTGAATTTCGCCAAAATTCTGAAATGCTGGTTAAAACCCTACGTCTTTATACTTGTGCATGCGTATTTTTTCTCTTATACATTATCGTAAACGACCCCTATAGATAGCCCCAATTTATCCCAGGTTGTACAAGGTAAATTTCATTCCAATTTTAATTAGATTAATATATGGCAAACAAACACAGAACAATTTAACAACTGAGAAAAAGAGAAAGATCCCAAAAATCTTAGAGTGGAAGAATTCCACATATGCGATTGATTTGGGTGCATCAGAGTATTGATGATCGAAGAAGAGCATTGCGTAGTCGAAGCACCAGGCACTTGTAACACAGAGAGAGCAAATGACTATGATTAGAAGTCGAACATCAAGAATAGCAGCAAATTCTTGTAACCAAATGGTGCGTAATTTATCAGATAAGACTAAAAGGTCATGGCAAGGGTACTAGAAGAGGATTTTAAAGGAGTGTGAAAGAGGACGTTGACAAAATGCAATGAAACCAGACGGTCAGCTTCCGTAGAAATTATCAAGCACCTAAATGGTGAAATTGAAAAGTTTGGGATAAGGTCCACCTTGCACTGGGACAAAACCAATTCAACGTTTTCTGAAGCAGGCTGCCTACACCAGCAGCCACTCCGCATTATAGAGCAACAGCTTTGTCATATTCTGCCGGGATATGGTGCCATCTATGTGACTGTATATCAGGCAAACAGCCAGTTACTCCTGCTACTACATATATTCATCTAAGTGAATACTCTATACTATAATATTTACCTGTATACGTGTATATGAACATCATTGTGTTCATATTTTTATCCTTAAGCAAATCTCTCGCATATATACATGTAGTTTATTGTATTAAATAAAGCGTTGTCAATTGGTATATTTGGATTAATCAACAAAAGAGNTGGCGGGCGGCGGAGGCAATCGAATGTGGTCAGAGGTAACTTGACACGATGAAGATAGGCTATAGTGAAGAGGTTAGTGTCAAGTTATCTCTGAAGCTCAGGGTGCACAATCCAGGCAATCACTCAAACAATGCTAAAATTTCCATCACTCTGGACCAGGTTTTGGTATGTGGAATTGAATGGAAATTCGTGCCAATTAAAGGCTGCGTGCGCCCACGTGTTAGCCCCTAGGTTGACAATCGTAAAGGAGACCACGTTAAGGATGACCCCAACTTTTACCTGAAAATAGATTTAGAATTTAAAATGATGCATTATTTTATAATGTAAGCGCTTTACTTCCAAGAACATTATTAAGTGAAGCTTAAATGAAAAAAAATCCTACTGCACTTAACTCAAGTACCTCGCCATCTTTATGCCTATATGTCTACTTAGGATATAGCAATAAATTAAAGGATGATTTTCTGCGGTTGCTTCACATACAGTACATATACATTGTTCTTCCTGATCAATCTTTGCACATTTAAAGTTTGAAACAGTTATCATAATGGCACAAAGCAAAGTTGTTTTCAACACAGTTTGTCCATTAAAATGAAAAGAACTAACAGGATGGGGACCGTTGACAACCGAACATATGCAACCCTCTTACACACACGCGCGCGCGCGCACACACACACACACACACACACACACACACACACACACAAACGCTCTCACATACATGTACATATATAGGGGTGTTTACGGGACGTGTAATGTCACTGACATTATACATATTTACCATGTCTATTATGCGAATCCTCCCATATGCAAAGACGAAAGCATTAGCACTAGTCCCGACTGGTAACATGAACGTCATATTTGTGCATAATTCCACCGGCCACATTATGTAAACCGGGTTGTAGCCAAACTGCAAAGCCTGAGTAAATATAAATAAAAAACACAATAAAATGTTAAAATAAAATCAGAATTTAGAACTTAGGTGAAGTATAAGACTGGGTTCTCATGCCCAGATTTATCCATCTGGATCGGTCTAACTCTCTGGGGAGTCTCACTATTTGCTTTCAACTTAACCGGCTTAAATGTCGGTCACGCCTACCGTATCAGCTAGGGGGTAAAGATAATTACCCCCTAACAGCTTTGCTAGGTATCTACAGTATTTATCATTTATCATTAATTTTCATTTTATTTTGGTTATGTTACTATGGAAGGGAACAAAACAGACAATTTCTGGCTTACCACGCTCCCTACAATAGGCATCAGTAATGTTGTCGAAGCTGTGTTTGTGATAAACTCTGTCATTACCGTGGCGACCGCACATAGAACCATAATCAGCTGCCAGGGGGGCAGGGAAGACAACGAAAACAGTTTGGCGCCGATCCAGTCTGACAAACCCGAAGCCTGACGTATATGTAAAGGGAATGTTTGGTTAAATAGGTATAACAAGAAATATTTTGTCAAGGAAATATGGAAACGGGGTACAGAATTGTTTGAATATCAAATACCACGAATCTTCACTGAAACAGGATAGAAAGGGATACAAAATATGGTAATTGGTAACCAATTTTGGAAAAGACTCTGAACCAAGGAAACTGTGTTGGAGGGTCCCGGTGACCATTCATATTATTGTTTAACGACTAACAGATCTGAATAGAAATCCCTGTCCTCAAAATGGGGTTTCTATGGATTAAGAATATGTTGAGAGGTCGAGGGTAATTCTACAAACTTCAGCTAGAGGCTTCTGAGCAAAGAAACGGTCATAGCAACTGGTTTGGACATAACTGGAATCACACCCTATCCATTTTAATTGTTTAAACCTGTTTCTTGAAGCTATTTAACACCAAACACAAAGTATACAGACAGATATGTTTAAGTTATATTTTAGTCTAAGACTCAAAATATTTGTTACCTCGCACGCAGACGCAAGCGCCACGCCACCGCCTAGCAATATAAGTATCCCCCAGGCGACCTTGCTTTGTGCATATTTCCAATCCATAAGGGTGGCCGTTGGGTCATCGTCTTTGCAGAAATGTAAAACGTGTTGCATGTTCAAACCAAATTTACATCAGTGTGTCATATGTAGCATATGGATCTTTTGGAAAAATGTGTACTTTGCTTTGGCATGGACCTGCCTGTTTTTATATGGAATCCACAAAGAAACTATTCCAAACTAACTGTAGTTTAAATTGTCACAGGAGACCTTTATTCATGAAATATAAAATCACATAGACTGTCTTATTAAATACGAGACGTGTTATTTTTCCTTTCATTTGATTGTGCACATTTCTCAGAATGTGTCCTTTCACATCTACTTACCTTCGTCACGTGTCGTCGAATCTGATGCCAAACCAAAATACCTTTTCGGATTAGACGGGATGACAAATAAAGAAAATATAACAGCCATGGCCGCGGTCCCATCTGACACGTATCTGTTGGGGAACAATAATAGCTATAATACGCTAAGTTAGATATCACAGTTGGAAAGACATAATAATAATAATAATATACTTTTAAAATGTGAGATTTCGTATTACATTTTTTTCGTTTATTTCATAACTGTTGCATTAGCATGGGGCAAATAACATACCCCTTTCTAAAAATCAAAATAGTTGAAATAACACAGATTATAATAATGCACTTTTTAAATCATTTATCATTGAAATTAAAACTTTGTTCAAGGAAACTATATACATTTATATCATAAGCTTTAATCAGTAACATATGGCTATATTGTTTTAATAGACTGCAAAGTGCTGCAATTGTATTAGCCTACCCTTTTCTGAAGGCAACCGACCATCCGTCTATAAAACGCGGTTCTCGGGTAAGCCACAGCAATGACAGCACGGAAAAATGTACCAGCACTGCCTTCTCTGCAAACCTGTATATTGGAACGCAATGCGCAATGAGATTGCAATATGTCTAAGCCTAAAATACCTGCAAAGCTTTCGCAGCTAATTAAAAGAAATGAGACGTTTGACCAAGGGCATGTTCTTGAAAAGCTTAAATACCTACAGGGTATATAAAGAAAATATTTTAATAGATAAATATTTAAATGTTAAAATACTTTTCACTCTTTTTTTACTGTTAACAATATTGATTGCTAGGATGCAATGCAAGACATGCGTCTCCAATGTATAAATACAGAAATAAATATACATTGATTAATCGATTAATATATTGAAATTGCTATCCATCTTGTAAGGGAATTTAATGCATAAATAAGTATACTTAACTTATCGCTTAATTGATTAACATCATTATCCATGATGTAAGGACATTTAAAGATCTTTATATGATAATAAACTAACAACAAATGTGAAAATCTTAATAATCCCAATTTCCTCTTCCTTCCAGTTCAACGGAAATTTAACTATTGGTCTATTTACAGACAAGAAACAATTTTATTCGATATTAAGAGACGAATAAATGTGTAGAAACTTTAAGTGAAATTTCTAAAATTTTGAATGAAAGTGAAAGTAGAAAAACGATTGGTCAACATACGTCATGGGTCCCAGACTTTCATATTCCTTCCTCAGTACCTTGTTAACTTCTTCTTTCCCCTTAAAAACCTGGTCCTGACAAAAAGTGTCCCTGTGAAAATGAACATATTATATTATATTATATTATATTATATTATATTATATTATATTATATTTATGATTTTTAATGCCTTCTTGTTATATTCCTTAAAAGTGTAGGAAGAATAAAATCAAAATCGAAAAGATAAAATGGGCTTTGGCCTTAGTTTGATATTATTATAAAGTAACAAGACGAAACCAGTGGAGGGATTCTAGGTTTCTCGCATCACCGAACAACATTTTAGAAATGTCAACGTTCTTGCAATCGAGTATCTATTATCCTACCTCCAACCTAAGAAGAACAGCTGCAAGACGAACCAAGTGCACACCGTAACCAAAAGAGATACAGGAAAACCATACATCAGCCATGTCGCAAACGTTATGCCGGGATCGGTGAGGGCTTTTTTGTCAGCGTATATTCTGAAAAACAAACAAACAAACAAATAAAAAATAGATTGGATATAATAAAAAAGCAAGAAAAAGAAAACAACAGGATCTTTTATGTATTCCCCTTATACATTTGAAACTTTTGTTTGACTTGTATAGTATAAACAGGCCCACTTGCGACCTAAGAAAAACATTGTCCTACATTTACCTTCCTCTTTGCTAATGTAACATTAGTAATTACAATATTTACAAAAAAAGACACTCACTGATCTGCCACATCTTTGAAAATGAGATTCGTAGAATGCCCCGTCAGAGTTGCCGTGCCTCCTATACTTGCAGCATAAGCAATGGACAAAGTGAAAGCTTTTTCCATGTCCTTTATGGAAATAGTAGAGGGGTATTTCGGTTTATCTTCTGGGAATTTGTCCACGCCTCGCATTTCTATGTCGGTAAAACCATCGTCGTTTGTCTTCTCCAAGTCCACGAGGGAGCTAATACTGTCATCTTCCGAGGCCATGTGTCCGAGATTCTCGCGATATTTCTTCCCCACTGACGAGATCCCATCTGGGATGTCTGAGAAATTGATTGAATATACTTACATATTTACAAGATTGTTCTCTGTAGTCCTATGCCTGACCTTGTAGCATTCTTTCAAAATATAGCACATGAACTCAAGTAGAGCAAGGAAAAGCTATATAAGGCATAGAGAGAATCCACCAGTTACCACCTTTAACATTCAATGGATTATATCATGGTTTGTAAGCGCTAACACATGTACCAATATTTTAATAAAAACCTAGATGAATAAACATTAATATTTATAATTGGCACCCTCAAGATTTTAGACATATTTAATTAAAATTACCCCTCCTGTTCAAAGAAGACAGGTTTTTCCGTGATGTCAAGCGTGCAGAAGGAACATGTGCTTGCCCAAAAGTGCTACATTGGGGCTGCTGCAAATGCCTTAATGAAGGCCAAATATTTTATTTTATTCTGAATAGTGAAGGGGGCGAACAAGGGGCCGCTCAAGGGCTTTGGCGCATGAGAATCATCCAAGATAGCTAAAAGCGTAAAGTTGAGAGCGATTTGAAGGAGAGTGGAGTCAGATACACCATAAGAGAAGGGACTACTGGGACTGTGCAGCAATGAAAAAAATTTACTAAATCCGTTTAAAAATAGATTTGTTGGTTGCTCGGTTGGTCGTTTTGCCTAATGACAGTATTGTCTACCGGTGCAAATTCATTTAGTTTTGCGTGTCACATTCATATTGCTTTCTCAGACAACATTACCCGGTGCAGAGTTTTACCCTTATCATAGAAAGGTGAACCCCACCTCACGCGGATTCTCGGACATTTTCTATTCCTGTATAATATAGTGCAACGCAGACAGTCTCGTTTTAGGTTATCTCGGATGATTTCCATTGGCGTCTGAAAGGCAGAATGAATCCAATATTTACAACAATACATTTACCTTTATTCTCCGTCTCCATTTCCTCCAGGCGGCGTAAAATCGCCTCTACGATTGGGAGCATCATGGCGACGGTGCTGCCTGTGGTACTCATCCACATGGCTAAAAACCATGTGATCAACATGAGCCCAAACAACAACCTACGTATAAAATGATAAACTCATATATACCCATATATATTCGATTTTATCAGGTTGGTTTCGGGGTGTATCCTGCGTACCTTGCTCAAAACTTGTAAATATTCACCCCAGTGACGTAAACGTGATTAGACTTCATACAGACTAGCTGCAGTGCATTACATGCACTTGCCTTTCGAATGTCTAAATGAACTGCATCAATTCAAATAATTTTGCTTACAAGGACCAAGGAAGAAGAAAAAGAAGAAGAAAGAAGGAGAAACCTTTTAGGTTCAGTTCCGACCAGAAGCAACATCCTCAGTGCCATGCGTTTGTGCAGGTGACATCTCTCTATGGCAGTGGCTATAATAAATCCTGCCAGCTGTAGCATATTGATGTCCTGGCGGCGAGAGAAAAAAAAAACAGCAAGTATATTTAGCTCTTCCTCTACCCTTTGCTTGATGAAAATATAATGTGTACATTGGATAATGTTTCTATTTTCCTTTCTTTATACTATTCAGTGCCGGGAAGTAAGGCACGCCAGTGACGATTTCTGAAAAAAATCACACCAATGGTCCCCTCTTGAAATTAGAATTTTGACTAGCAGAATCATAGATCTAAATCATACAAAGTGGCACCGTCCGCCCCCTAAAATGCCAAAATTTTCGGGGCTCGTCAGGCGGCCCAAAACCCCACGCCAAGGGGTCATCCGCGGACATCCTTCAAATAATCCTGGATCAGCCCCTGGGCAACCAGTTGTTGTCAAATCCATCAGTTCTACTAAACTATAGCAGCTTTTTATGCAAAAGGTAATTTGCCCGGACCCACGAGAACATACATTCATTTTCGAGCATTCCCGATCCCGGGCCAGCTCGTACATGTATCTCTAGGCAGGTAACTTGCCTCATCCGGGATTCGAACTTTTGACTTTCCGTTACCATGGTAGAAGATGCGGTTTTTTTTTTTTTTTTTTTTTTTTTTTTTTTTTTTTTTTTTTTTTTTAAGCAGCCGTGCACGCTAACGATTGCGCCGTGAGTGAACCGCCCACCCTCCGTTGGTACGAGTTTCCTCTTATAGTAATAAAACAAAATTTTTAGAACTGATTTTTATCCACAAAAATTGGACGTTAGAGAATTCGAACCGGCGTAAGATTGTCTAGCGCTGTCCACGTTAGCGGAGTTACCACGGAGCCGCGGACTCCTGGTCAAATGCAAACTTTCTACCCTAACACGGAGAGGACCAGTTTGGATGCCCTTCAGCTGTACAAATGTATTTCATCCCGCACAACGCCCGAACAATGTCTTATCACTGAACTTTGAAGCTGAAGATGTACACGAGACCTTGTTTGAGAAGCCGACCAGGAGCGTTCCTACATAGATTCATTTTTTACTTGACTTTGTTTTGATCTGAGATTTAGTTTAATATCACCTATGACGTTAAAGAGCACATTTGGATGACTTTAGTTTTAGCAAGCCCCTACAGTAGGAAGAGGGAATCATTTTAAAAACGTACAAATGTGTTGAAGCTGGTGCCCTTTCCATTCAAGCAATTGAGAAGATGTGAAATTTGAGAAAAAAACACATTTGGCAGATAATTCCGCCGAGAGGATACCTTTTTTTCTGGTGAACGCGGTTTACAAGCGGTATGACGTGGTGCTATAGCGGGAAAGCTACTAAATCCATATCAAGTTTGGTCGCTTTTATTGATAAGACTGCCGTTCCTTGTCAGATGATTTCAGATGCTTTTATTTTCATTTTGTTTACAATGAAATTATGTCTGACTTCACCTGTGACGTTATAGAGTGAAAGCGGCTCGCACTTTGACAGTTTTAGTTTTAAGTAGTCTTTCCATTATTAATTTTCTCTGTGTAGTTGCCCCGGGTACTGTACTGTACCCGGACTCATCTCTGTGGGGCGGTGACATGCCCCATCCGGGATTTGAACTCGTGACTTTCCGTTACCATTGAAGATGATGTGTTTGGTTAATTTAAAGCAATAATAACTCTTCCTTTGAGATTCAAAATTCCGCAAGAAATACATTGTAAACAACGTATGGAAATATATTCCATTGCATTTTATCACTAAAACGACCGTTATTGTAGTAAAGCTAAAATCTGTGTTTGTCAATAGGGCTTTCGATGCCTTTCTTCTCAGTCGTTAAGGCATCCGTTGCCAATGACTATGGGGTATCACGCGGATTCTCGCGTTCATTCGAGACCAAAATAACATCTGGCGCCAAACGCCTGACGCAATACGCAGGCGTAAGTTGCAAGTTTTTGTACAGTGCGTCGGATAAAGAAAAGCCCACATTTGCACACATTGTAGATATAAATGCATTTGAGCAATTGTTTTTGCATTTGTTGTTGTCTGCTTTTCCCGCGGTTTTAAGTAGGTCACCAGAAACAATCGCTCGATATCGTGTGACTATGCAATGTCAGAGAGGGCTCCGTCAGTTAAGAGATTTAACTTAATCTTAAGAGATTTTAACAAAAAACCAAACGTTTAGGAAAAAAACCCTGGACTAACTTTGAATGCAGGAATGGGGTCGTTGACCATTGGTAAGTACGGGAAAATTGCCGTTTACTCCAGGAAAATCCACTTTTTGGCCAAAACGAAGAGTTATTATGACTTTAAGCAGCCGTGGACGCTCCCGTGAGCGACACCCCATCCCATCCCCTCCCACCCCCATTAGGTACGAGTTTCCTCCTATCGTAATAAAACAAAATTTTTAGAAATGACTTATTAATATAAATTACATTAAACGTTCCAGAATTCGAATCCGTGTAAGAGTATATAGCTGTGCCCTAGTCAGCGGAGTTTCCACGAAGCCTAGAAAGCTTCATCGGCTGGCTTCAGATCAAATGTAAACTTTCTACAGTCGGAATCAACGTTCATAATACCACATCAAACACTAAGATCTAGACTCAGTTTTACACGTACACACATGCAAATCAGGTCCGTAGCCAGAAATTTCAAAAGGGGGTTCTTTTTCTGAAAAAGTGGACCTCTTCCCATAAAAACTTCATGTACCTAGATCAAATTCTACCCAGATTGGACCTTTCCCCAGCAAAAGTTTCGAACCCTCCGAACTCCCCCTGGCTACGGGCCTGCAAATGCACCTAAACACACACGCACACACACACGACCACACAAATATACTACCTTCCAATATTGCTGGCTGATATCCTTGGCCGTCATAATCCCCAGTAAAGGTACCAGAGCGACAGGGATCAGCGCTGTCATTGCCATAGGAACAGCTTCTGTGATCCAATAGACAGCCATCAGTACGGCGATATAGCTCGCCTTTCCGATCTATGGGCAGATGCGAAAAGAAGAGAGATAACGATTATCTTACATGCAATAATCACCGAGTCATCCGGTGGTATTTTCATTAAAACGAAAATAGGGCCGTAAAGCGTTTGTTTACGGTATTGCTGTTTTACCTTGGGTGCTAAAACTGGATATCTTTTGTGAGTAATAACAATAGTAATATTAATTTATTCAGATTTTAAATATATACACATTATGTAAAATATATATCGGGAATTGAATTCTGTTTGAGCTTTCAAAAGTGTTATAAAAGTGCAATATTAAGTAATAATATTTGTTAAATCCTCTAGTTTCAGAAGTGAAAATGATTAATAAGGTAGTGATTTAAAGGATAATTATATCTAAATGTAAAGTATAAACAAGAAAATGCTCATGGGTAAAAACCTTTTTAAAGCCTTTTAATTCCTTTAAAAGGTATCAAAGTCTCTTGTGTCGTGACGTTGAAGAGCATGAACAAATGATACATGTACATGTAGCAACCAAATTGGCTTAACCGTATGTGACGATTGTGTTGTCCAACCAACCACAATCTGTGCAGGGAAAGAGACTGACCGTGTAACAGGTGTGGTCTGCTTCCTATTACTTTGTACAGGTGACATTCGTCCTTTATATTTATCCCAATACTCCGACTAACCCTAACCTATACTAATCATATGGAATCCCGGCCTTCCATTTCTAGGAGTTTATTCCTGTGACACTGATCATTTTTAGCTCTTGTGCATTATTCGTTAGTGTGAAGAAGAAGAAGTGGTTTTTATCAAACTTTGTAGTAGGTCAGAGATTAAACTAGCTCATGGTGAATAGACTATAAGTGAGAGAATGTCATTACTACCGATAACAGCCATGGTCGACAATAGCTGAAACGCTAAAAACTGCAATTAAGATAATAATTGTATTTATGTAGCAAATGGTTTGTTTTAGTGGTGGTAATAATTTTTTGGTAATACATCAACGTTTTGTTCATAGGAAATTAGTCTTAGTTTGGGTCTTGTGTCTGCCTTAAGTAGTTGACCAAGGCAGGTGATAACAGATGTCCAGTTTTCTTGATACTTGGTGACTGCATTTTCTTCGGCTAATATTCTGTTTTCCCAGCCACCAGTTTTGTTATCAAGTTTCGGCGACGGCTGTTTCCTTTTATTTGAGTGACTTCAAGTTCTGAGATCACACACAGGCTAGTAATTTTATATTTTCTTCAATTTTTCCCTTATTCATGTGTTCTTATCATCAGATTTATAATTTGTCGGTTGCTGCAGTTGTTAACTATTTTGTAAAGATGTCACTGCATCTTCAAAAAAAAAAGTTTTTTTTCTTCTTTGTGTGTAGCTATAATATTTATGCTGAATCCTACCGGGCCAGGAATTCCGCTTTTTTATCATTTCTCGGCTGTAGTTTACATGCCGTAATCCATACATTTCTGTGTTTATATTGTCTCCGTGTCCGCATTACCAGGTGCCATAATTTAATGGGTTTCTGGTCGACTAGGTTACATGCATTTTTGGAGTTGTTATGCACTTTGTTTTGGGTGTACTTCCCAGGTGTTTAATTGTTTGCCTGGTAGTGAGAACCCGGTGTGGTATCGGTTATATACTAGGTTCTTGGTGTTTTCCCCAGGTGTTTAATTGTTTGCCTGGTAGTGAGAACCCGGTGTGGTATCGGGTATACTAGGTTCTGGGTGTTTTCCCCAGGTGTTTTATTGTTTGCCTAGTAGAGAGAACCCGGTGTGGTATCGGATATACTAGGTTCTGGGTGTTTTCCACAGGTGTTTAACTGTTTGCCTAGTAGTGAGAACCATGTGTTGATATCTTGTATACTAGGTTTATATTTTGTGGGAGTTGTTATGTTCCTATTCTGGGGAGTCACCCAGCTGCATGTTCGTTTGCCTAGTCGGGTTTACCAGATATCCCTGTTTTTACTGTTTATTATGAAACATGTCTGCCAATGGGTGCAAGTTGTTCGTGCCAAATATTTTATCACTGAGTACAGCTCTACAATGGATGTTGAAGAAAATTCATGCCTAGGCCATATCCTATATACTGGATGATTTTTGTTTCATTGGAACCCC